TCGCAACCTACCCTTATCCAGCCGTGGATGGCGTGACGATGCATCAACTATCTTCGGCGGACAAGCCGCTCCAAACACTATACCATCACACTTCCGGTTGATCACCATCAAGTTAAATTTGAAATCGACACTGGTTCAGCTGTTACTCTCATAAATGAGGTCTCTCTTCAGAAAATTTCCCAGCTTCTTCCGGCTCGCTCTACTTTTCGTTGTCATACTAGACAGGACGTAGACGTTCGAGAGGTCTTTGCAGTCGAAGTTGAGCAGGATGGCGAACTTCATTACTTGCCGGTTCGCATGGTCAGAGGAAGCCAACAACCAAACTTTCTCGGACGGGATTGGATAAAATATGTTCCCTAGGTGTTATTCCACGTAAATCGAATTGGAGTTAACCCCGCTCTAGATTCCCAGTTAGTGATGCATAAGAAACTATCTCGGGGCGATTCGAATACGCACTACCGCAGTCCACCCGTTGAATTCTCCTTTGGATCAGAATGTCAACCCAAATTCTTCAAAGCTCATTCAGTCCCCTATGCAGTTGCAGCGGAGGTCGACGGAGAGTTAGATTCCCTACACAAGGCGGGCATTTTTGAGCCTGTACAGTATTGGGAATGGGCAACCCCCATAGTTCCTGTTGTTCAAGCCGATGGTTCTATGAGTATTTCTGGTGACTACAAGATGACTATCGAAGCAGCAACCAAACTAGACTATTATTCGCTCTCGCGGATCGAGGGCCTGTATGAATCCCTTCCAGGTGGTCAGCGATTTAAAACTTTGGACTTGAGTCATGCCTACAACCAAGTCATTTTAAATACAGAATCCCGAGACGCCACCACCATCAATACATACCGGGGTTTGTTCCGATACAAAAGACTACCCTTTGGAATTTATTGCTGGTACTGGTCGGACGTCGAACAACGTGCCTCGGATTCATCACGATCCAGAAAAGCCTATCCTACAGAAATGCAATACGACCCCGTCCGGCTTGGGTTCAGTCTCAGACACCGAATGTCTTCTGGTCATTGGTGGAAAGCAAACTAGTCGCAACCAGTCGATGAGTACGTTCCCCATTCCTCTACTATCCATGCCAGCACTAGCGCACGGACGGAGGAACCGCCGACTCCACAAAGCGGTGCAGAAGTGGAAAATACCGTTCTTAGGAGGTCGATACAAATCCACAAACCATCCCAAATTTTCAGGACGAAATCCGTTTTGACCATTGTTAACTCCTACATTTTACATTTATTCTATTCTCCCCTTCCCAATGCCATCCACTTGAGAGTGGAGGGATGCTGTGTATGCCCGCCTGTAGTATCGAGACCTCAGGCCGCGAGCGCGCAACAAAGGACCAGCTAAGGTCACGGACGCGGATTCACCCATCCTTTGTTCTGACTGGCCAGCGGGTTCACCCCTTTCCTTATTCTGACTGACCAGCCTTTGGTCTATTACATTTACCCCACACCATATACGCCGCAGTGTCAACATGACCCCCGACGTGAACTGTGCCCTTGTCCTCAGTACACGTGCTGCCCAGAAACAGCCATCTGTTCTGCCTACAGGGAGCCTTCTGCTTTACATACATTACATTCGGCCTGCCTACAAACTGCCTTCCGTTTTCAACGCATAACAATAAGCTCTTCATCGATCCGAAGTTCATTAATGCCTCGCCACCTGCCATTTACTATCACTGCAGATCAGGTATATATTCACTCAGGAATGTGCAAATACCAATACAGTTGGCTTCCTGAAGTAAACAAACTTTGTGTGGGTGGCTAGGTGTCTCAAACCGGCGAACACCTGTCCGGCCGACCGAGCCATAATGGCAGAGAGGCATTGATGAACTACGGTTCGATGAAGTGCTTATGACCCATCGGGTAGACCCAAGTGGTGGACCATCCTCGCCATCTGCGTGTTCATTTGTTTGCGTTTCCGGCCCGGCTGGTGGTCAGAGTTATGCTTGGCTGAATGAAGACAAATAAGCCCGAAACAGTATCGTATGGTCCGGATAGGTCTGTGC